TAGATTACAATTACAATTTTATTGAGTTTAATATAAACATTTGGGATATATTGCGTTTTTTTGCAAAATTAATGGGTATTATAAGTTTAGCTTTATTTTGTTAAATTACTGAATAATAAATATAATATACACAACATAAACTAAAAATATTATATAATATCAAAACGTGTCCTAACGTGTCGAAATTTAACATTTTTTAGAATTAACGTGTCGAAGTGTCGTATCGTGTCGTATCTCGAGCCCCATGTCGGTGTCGATGAAACATAATTTAGAGGTGATAAAATGAATCGGCCTATTCAATACCATCATCAACCCAAAAAAAAGGGCTGATTGGATTGTCCCGTCTCTTAAAAATAGATTGAAAATATTAACCTACTTCGTTTTACATGGTTGGCGGATTAACCTATTTTAAAAATTAAAAAAGATAATATTTTATAAAATTTGGTTGAATAGTCTTTAGTAATTCATTTTTGTCATATATGGATAACATTTATAATAAATAAAATTTTTATTTTATTTTTTCTAGGAAAATATTAATTTACAAGTTTTGGATATCACAAAAAGTTAAAATAACAATAAAATACTACTTGAAAGTAAAAAAAAAAAATACACTCGGTGGGTCAACCCCCTACGACGGGTTGAACCTGTTTTGACCCACCCTTAAGTGGGGTGAGTTCGAATGAGTTGGCGGGTTGAGAATATTAACCAAATGGCGGGTTAATTTTGCCACCCCTAGTTGTAAAGAAGTCTTTTTCCTAATTTAAACTTTTTTTAAAAAAAAATTAGTATTACCAGACCTGACTCGAACTGACCGGGTCGATCGGAACCCAATAAATCGATCATTTGATTAGTTCGAGTCAAGTATTGAACCGGCCATGTACGTGGAAATCGGTTCAAACTAGCCGGGTTTTATCAAAATCGATGATCCGGTCGAGTCATCAAAATCGGCAGGTCATGCATTTTTTAAAAAAGAAAAGAAAACAAAGTTGTCTCGTCTGGTCATCAAAAAATGTGGAACTCCTTGAATTATTTTTTTGTAATTTTGTTTGCTAGTAGTATACTCTCTTACAATGACCTCAAATTTTAGTTTCAAAGACTGAAGCAATTTGTGGAATAGTAGATTAAGAGAAGGTGACATTTTGATTCCTTGCAAATCCATTTTTGTGGAAAAAGTTGTTGATAAATGCCTTATAATTATTAAAAATGGTTAGTTGGGGATATTTAGTAGAGGAATTATATGCAAGTTACCTAATACTTGAATTTTTTTTTCTTTGTTTATTTCTTTTACAATATACTATATGTGGTCACCATATGTGACTTTTTTTTTCCCTACAAAAATTATATATGTTTGCATCCCCACATATCAATTTTTTTACATATATTTGAGTATTTTTATGTATAAAATATAGGTTTTCATGTACTAACCTGGGTCATGCGGTTCAATCCGTGATCCACCAGTTGAACGAATAACCTAGTACCCTGGCCATGTCAATGACCGGGTAGAGTCTAATAACATTGAAAAAAATTGCTAAAATTTTATAATGTTGATAAAATTGATAAAATTAAAACAAAATGTTAACTTTGACCAAATTCAGCATGACCTCATTCATAGAGTGGAATTTCGAGTGTGATTGAATTCAATATTGGTTGGTAATTAAGAAGCTGGGGAAGTTGATGGCAGATGATCATTATCAATGGGCTAAGCTACACCAACTGTAGCAAATGGGTCTGACATCATATCTCAGCCTAAAACCTTAAGGCATTAGTTTAATGGGTCTGACAAATAAAAAGAACTTCACTTAACCCATTATTAACCAATACGAGATTCCATCACATTTGAATATCCCAACAATAATGATCTAAGTGAGCACCATATAAATAAAATAACTTGTAAACTTGATACCTTAAGGTTTTGAGATGAGATGTGTGTCGGTACTTATTGTGGTGGATTTTCTTTTAGCATATTAATGATGGTCACTCCTTCATGGGCTCCCTGGCTATGTAAAAGTCATATTAGAGTCAATGGTAAAGTTGGTTCGGCCATGTGTTTGATTAGGGGTGAGTAATTGAATATGGTGATTGGTGCAATTCGGGTTTGTTGTCAACTTTAACATCTGTTGCAAAGTCAAGTGTTGATTATTTCATAAATACTCAATCAAGCTTTTAGAGAACAAATATTGGGCCTGAAACTCACACTTGAGGGCGAGAATATTGGGAATTCAAATGTGAGTGGTGAAATTCCATAATGATTATAAATAGACAAGTGATGATCATATAAGTAGAAATACCCATAAATTTAAAGTCTTAAAATTTTGGGTTGAGACGTGGTGTGAAATCCACTTGTTATGGTGGATTGTCACTTAACATATTGTGATAGTCTACTTGTCATGGGTTATCCATAAGCGCATAATAGTGGTATCAGAAGTTTGACTTGGGATACTGAGAAAGACTTTCATTGAGGGAGATCATACTAACTTGAGATTTCACACTTGAGGGAAAAAAATTTAAAATTAAATGTGACGAAGTCCTACATTAATTGATAATGAAGACCATATCAATGAAATGATTTATAAACCTAATATCTCAAGGCCATATAAAATAAACCAAGTATATTTGATTTTACTTAATTGTCATAAAATTTTGTTTTTCAATTAAAAATATGAACATAAAATAAATTAATTCAAACAATTAAGTGTGAATTTAGTCTAAAATGTCTTTTCAATTAAAAAGTCTTTATAAACTGTTTTCAAAAGTAAAATAAGATAGTTTAAAGATGCACTCAACTCAATATAGAAAATATTTATACCGATCTATTTGGGGCCACGCTGGTCCAGCTTGGTGAAAATTCATCATCATATAAAAGTTGAACTACCTCATTGGTTGCTTCATTTAGTTGCCATCTTATCGATTCAATTTCCACTACCTCCCTATCATGTGCCAAGAGCTTTAATTTGGGGACTATAGCTTCCAATTGTCAATTTATTCTCTGGTCATTCTATATTTTTTTGCCACTCTTTTGAGACTAACTTGTGCATGATTCAGGATGATATTATGGGGGCTTCTTTTCCCCGCTAGTAAGTTGTTTCTTAGGGGCCTTGCCCCTACTACGAAAAACCTGTGCATGAGTAGTTTCAATTTTTTTTTTACATACAATCAATTATTGTTTAGATTAACTTGCATGTACTTAAACCGCATCACTTTCTAATTTGGTTAAAAATAGGCCATTCAAGTGGAGACAGAAATTTTAAAGGATGTATATTTTGCTGGCTTTTTGACCACTGTAGCCTTTTTTTAATAATTAATTATCAAATTGACTCTGTTTATAAATTATTTCAAAAATTTAACCTCTCCAGAAAACATAACACCAATCTGCTCCTGTTTGACCGTTGACCATGAAAGCTACCCGGGTACACCCCTACCTATTAAAACAATCAGAAAACGATGCTACAAGCTAAGTTTCAGCTAGAAGAGTAAGCACAGTAGCGTAACTTGCTTGAAAGGATGAGGAAACAGTAGATGTGTGACAATCTTGAAAAACAAACAAACAATGAATCCAGTTAGAAGAGTAAGCACAATAGCGTAACTTGCTTGAAAGGATGAGGAAACGATAAATGTGTGACAATCTTGAAAAACAAACAAACAATAAATCCAGTTAGAAGAGTAAGCACAATAGCGTAACTTGCTTGACAGGATGAGGAAACGGTAGATATGATGTTCATATTCAGCTTTGATTATTTACCCGGGTACACCCCTCCCTACCCGGGTAAATAATTCAAACATTTTTCCAGATTCAAGAAATATATCCGGGTAAGAAGAGGTGTACTTGGGTAGGTAAAATATTTCAAAATATATACCCAGATAGGTTTCATGATCAACGGTCAAACATGGGCAGATTGATGTTATATTTTCTGGAGAGGTTAAATTTTTAAAATAGTTTATAAATAAAATCAATTTAATAATTAATTATTAAAAAAAGACTATAGTGGTCAAAAAGCCATATTTTGCTGCTTGTAAAAGAAATTAGTTAATTACTGCAACTTTTGGTTCTATAGTGGGTTTATTGTTCCAGTCTGGGTTGGGGACTTCTGGAACCCAAACAAAAATTGTTCTGGGCCACAGCTCGATAATTAAACATTAGCAAAACGACAAACTTTTTTTGGATCGAAGCAAAAAGACAGCCTTGCCCTGTTTCCCATGAATTAATGGTGCCAAACATTCGTAATTCGTAATTGCCATTTTGAAAAATATCTACATAAAGATACTCATACTTTGCCGCGTGTCAACAAGACCTTGGCTCAATGGAATTTAGGGATAGAAGTAATCTTGGTGCATTTAAAACTTTCTAGGAGGAATTGACCACTTTGTCAAATTTAGGTGCCACGCTATGTCTATTAATCACGGCGGTGTGAAATTTAATTTGGAAATGAAAGTAAGGTCCAAATGCTTTATTTCACGTGCTTAACTTTGACTAATACTATCATAACTAGCTGGAGTCTTGACTCCAACGTTAACCAATTTTGAGTAGGAGAATTTATTTCATTTACTTTTCAATGCATCTAACCGTAAAAAGAATTAATATGGGATTGAATCCCACAACCTAAAAAAAAACTTCTAGAATTTTTTGGACTTAAAATTTAATAAATTTATAGACAGGTATATTACCTGAGAAGCCAGATGTAAGAAAACTTATTTAATTGGCAAGATTTCTTTAGTAATATATATGTTTATTGGTACACAACTTCATATTTTGTAGTGATAAGTGTTTTTTTTGGTGCACAACCTCATTTACTGATATATATTTTGTCTTTTAGTTTGACTTGTTCATGATTTGTTGTACCCTGTTTGAATTACCCGAGCTCTATAAAGATCTAGTTTCCGTTGTTGACCATCATTTTGTTGATTTCAACGTTTGAAACATCAAAATGGTGGAATTAGGCACCTCTCGTTACGACATGGTAGGATGGTAGCAAGTCTATAGGAACTATTTCAAAAAACGAGGAAGCGTGATTGATTATGCTAACAAAAGACGAGACAGAGACATATGACACCTTCTAATGAATCTAGCTAAATTGGACCAAGGTTACATGGATGGAGCAGCAAGTGTCAATTGACTTGCCAATTTTACATGATAGTCTAATATAAGGTGGCAACTTGGTTAACTTGCTCAAGTGAAGGTGAAGAGTGAAAGAAGAGACAAATAGCTGAAATGTCATCCATGGCAATACCCCGTCTCTTGCGTTTCCATGCATGCATTGCACACTCCACCAAACGTTTAGCTGAATTTATTCTGTCTGGTGTAGAAGATACAATATCCACTGCTTCTTGATTCGAGATTACATCCCACACCTATAGCAAAGGCAAAAACCAATGACATATATTAGAAGGACTAAAAATTCAGCAATAAAATTAGTTAATATCGCAAACTATCTCAATCAGAATATGTATATATATATACCCCATCAGTGGCTAGCACAACAAATTGGTCTCTGCTGGTTATATTCCTGTGTGTTACTTCAGGCACTGAAATAAGACCATATTCTTTCACGCAGTAATCACCAAAAGCCCGAGACATGGCTAGTCCTGGAGACTCTTCATCCGGCAACCACACCCTATGAACCCCGGGCTCGTCGTGCAAGCAGAAAACCCGCCCTTGGCACTCAAGTATTCGCTCTGCTTCCTCTGCAAATTTATCAGCAGACAGTGATATTCTAAGATATCATATTAAGACATAGACATAGAATGATAGAAACACATGACTGAGCAAGACTAACGAGGTAAATTGGGCTTGAAATCTACTGTCAGCTGAACTGGTACCAAACTTCCATCATCTGATGTTGTAGCTAATACAGCACGAGAGTCACCAACATTTGCAATGACAATGAGTTCACCCTAGCCATTACAGAATCATGATCAGTTTTCAAAACAACTCTTCTCTAATATTGGTTGATCTATTATGTACTATGCACTAGTAAGTAGTCACCAATATGAAAGCACCAGATTTTTGCAAATTGGGTTATTGAGATGTTATCAGAAGTTGATTTCTCTTTGGAATTTTTTTTTTTCTCTTTACCTGTCTAACAACTGACAGGGCAGTTGTGCCGCTGAAAAATGAATCTATCTTGCGATTCTGCTCTAGTTCTCGATCAATGGCAGCACAAGTCTTCAAGTAGGAATGCTTCCACATATCAAACCGTTGTTGTTTTTTCTCTGTCTCTATATCAATATCAGGATCAAGTGAAGTTTGAGAAAGTGTCTCCTGCCAGTTGCATAACAAAGATGGTGGCATTGACTCTCTTACTCTTTTGGCCACAAAGTGACCCCATGGCCCGTGCCCATCAAAAATCCCACAGAAGATCATGTCCTCTTGGCATCCAAATTCCTATAATAACCAACATGAACAAATCCACTCTTATAAACACAGGCATATTATTTCAGCAGTTAATTAAAAATAAAATAAAATAAAAAACTTTTCTAGTGATTTCGTTCCCCATTAATAACAAAAGAAAATATGCAATATATCTACATACTTCCCAGACTATGCAACAATCCTGATTCACTCCTTTCTTGCCTCTTTTGGAGAAAACTGAGGCAAAGTTGTTTGAACCATCAACATTAACAGTGCCCGAGCTAGACAGTATGAAGTGATTCTTTTTTGCTTCTTTTGCCATTGCTTCAGCAGCTTCTCTTCCGCTACATCTACCAGAACTCCTCCTTTTCTTCACTGCAAACGACTTCGCCAACCCATTGAACATAGACGAAAGATGCCCCATTAACTCTGCAAATTGATTCCTACCACTAGATGCTGCTTATTCCTCTTCCTTTTATGAATATCTAGCACAGAATCTGAACATAAGAAAATTTATTACGGTTACATATTTACACAGGTATGAGTCACACATAAGAAATTCGTAAGGAACCATTTCATTTCATTTTTTTTTATTTGTATTTTATGCTTTGATTTCCCCATAAAAAAATTGGGGGAAAAAGAGTCAATTTTCGAGTATAGAAAAAAGATTGGATCAAAGAATTCAACCATTCAAACTCATTTCTTTATTGGTAACTGAATTGGTCCCCTCCCCCCCCCAAAAAAAATATAATTTCTTTTTGCCTTGCTTTTTTGTTGGATTGTACGTGTTTAACTGCTGAATAAAATAAGAGATTGTAGCATTGTGCATATCGGACCGACCCGAAGAAAACCAAAATATCCTGGAAGAATATCTCAAAACCGCTATACCAGCAGCACATTATTCAAAGCCTTTGAGGAAGATTTGAAACAAAGCAGAGTAAAAGGAATGGATACAAGACCTTGGACTTGTTGGTGAAGAAGAAACTAGAGAAGCACAGGTAGCAGTTGGAGAAGTTGTCGTGTACTGAATAGGATGCAATTCTGACAAAGTGACAAGCCAAGCCAATCCATCATGGTGTCTTGTTTGTTTGGTTCTGGTCTCTTTAGTTAGTTTCCTTTTATCTACGGAGACGTAAACAAAAGTTTTTCTGTACATACATTTATTTAAATGCAAATAATACCCAATCAATGCATGTAAATTTGTATTTGGGAGGGTACAACGTGTAACTAATAGAATCTTAACCTATAAGGAATTATACCATCTCTCCCCAATCCCCACTATCCACATCTTGGTTGGCTCAAACGCTTGTGGCCTCTTTCGTTTACCATATATGGAACTCTATATTTTAAACTAGATTCTCTGTGACAGTTATAAAGGGAGAAAATAAAACATTACCATTTTTTATTTTTTGTCACAAATTATATATGACAAATTGAAAGGATAAACTTCTTTTGATTGAGAAAGTAAGAATGTATTTATTTTTAAAATTTAATACGTTAATTTCATAATACACTTTAAATTAAATCAAATATGAATCCATTTTTTATTTATTTATTTTAAAGACTAACTCACTTGAATCGGAAGTGTATAAATTAATAAATTAATAAGAGGTTTATTTTTCTTTCCCTGAAAATTCATCACACCTCATTTATTGCTTTATAGTTTATTCATGAATACGAAAACGATGATACGATGTATAATTAAAAGTTTTCATGTGCGTAACTATATGGATGTATTTCGGACTTATTGAGTTGGCATGTATTTTTTCCCCACATACAGGAACTTTGGAAGATGAGTATTTATATATGTAAACAAACAAGCTCAAGGTTGTACTTGATTGATAAATAATCAGAAAGATTCGCACTGTGTGGCTGCCCATATTGACATGTCATTTATTAAGAGATTTATTATTTGTTATCTAATAAGAGATAAATTTTTCTCTTACATACACATAAAAATGTGTAAGATTCATATTTTTTATTTCTATCTTGTCTCCTCACTCTGGTTCACATAGGCTCCATATACTTTTATATATGTATAAAAAATAAATTTATCTTTTATAATATGAAGAACATTAAACCCTTATACAAGTAGAAAAGTGTTATACAGGAGAGTTAATCTTAATACTTTTCATAAAATTAGGCTCACACTTGAAAAGTGCAATTTTTTTTAAAAAAAATAAGTATTATTGTGTATAATGATTCAATAACTTTAAAAATATTAAGATAAAAATGAAGTGTCGTTTCGTTAGTATTACACTAAATTGTAGCTGGTAACCATATTTATATTTGATAATAATACTTTATGTGATTAATAAAAAAATATGTTCTTCACTTTAGTTTTTTTTTTTAATTAGTTCTGATATTTCTCAGAAATTCGAAGTGGATCTATTTAATTGAAATTGTAATTTTTCATAAATTCAAAAAAATCCATTCTAATCTCTCAAAAAAACTAAAATTGATCTACTTTAAATTTTATAGAAACATTTTTTATAAAAAACTAAAGTGAGCATCATGCACTGAAAAAGTTGTTAGAGTCTCTTTGTTTTTTGTCCGTTAGAAAATTCAATGGTCTTTTAAGTTTGATGTAACGGCCATGTGTTGCACTAAAGTTGTTTGATGAGTCTTAACGGTATCATAATGAGTCAGTTTTGGGTAGTATAATGAGTCATTAAGTTAGAGTTTATTTGGGTGTAATGTGTCTCTTAATGTTATGTTTTTCAGTTTTAGTTTCTGGTTTATATTAAGTTTGAGTCAGTTTATGAAATTTGTATTCCCTCTTCAAACATTGTGAGTTATATTTCTGCATCTTAATTTTTCTCTATCAGTGGTATCAAGAGCCAGGTTGAGAGTTAAACACGTGAGGGAATTGAGTTGTGAAAAAAAGAGTAAAGTGAAGAGTCATGGCCACAGATTCTAATTTTGTGCAAGCAGCCCTTCCACGTTTCGATGGTCATTATGATCATTGGAGCATGTTGATGGAGAATTTCCTTCGATCCAAGGAATATTGGGATGTAGTTACCAATGGTGTTGTTGAACCAGCACTAGCAGAAGGAGCTCAGTTGACAGCAGCACAACGAGCAGCTCATGAAGCAGTAAAGTTGAAGGATTTGAAGGCGAAGAATTATCTCTTCCAGGCCATTGACCGTTCTATCTTGGAAACCATTCTTTCCAAAGAAACTTCCAAGGATATTTGGGACTCCATGAAAAAGAAGTATCAAGGCTCTGCAAGAGCAAAGAGGCAGTAGCTTCAAGCTTTACGCTCGGAATTCGAAACACTTCGAATGAAGTCGGGAGAATCAATTGCAGATTATTTCTCTCGCGTGATGACCATTGTCAATAAAATGCGAATTCATGGAGGCAGGATAGAAGAAATAACTGTCATAGAAAAAATTCTTCGATCATTAACAGCAAAATTTAACTTTGTTGTTTGTGCTATAGAAGAATCTAAAGATATAGATGATTTGTCACTTGATGAATTGCAGAGTTCATTGGTGGTGCATGAACAGAAGTTCAAACAGGAAGACACAGATGAGCAAGCATTAAAGGCTTCTACCGATACTCGTTCCAACAATTTTCAAGGAAGGGGTAGAGGTAGAGGCAGAGGTAGAGACAGAGGCAGAGGAAGGTCCACTAATTTCAGAGCCAATAATGATCAATTTCAAGGCAGAGGCAGAGGAGGAGCCCCTGATAAATCCAAGGTAGCAAAGAAAAAGAAGAAAGTTCAAACTTTGCAGAAAAAGAGGAAGGTGAAACCTTATTGATGGTTGCTAAAGATGAAAAGCAAATTGAGCCAGATGTTTGGTATGTGGATACTGGCTGTAGCAACCACATGAGTGGTAGTAAGTCTTCTTTCTCTCATCTGAATGAAAATTTTCAATCTACTGTGAGTTTTGGTGATCATTCTACTGTGAAAGTAATGGGAAAAGGTGACATTAAAATAAAAACCAAGAATGGTTTTGTGGAAACAATATCTAATGTATTGTATGTTCCTGATTTGAAAAATAATTTATTGAGTGCTGGCCCATTACAAGAAAAGGGTTATGTGATCACTATTAAAAATGGTGTTTGTGAAATATATGATTCTGTTAGAGGTGCTATTGCTGTTATTCAGATGAGTTCAAACAGATTGTTTCCATTAAAGATTGAAGGAATCCAATCTAGTTTAATGGCTGAAATGAAAGATCCTTCATGGTTGTGGCATTTTCGCTATGGCCATTTGAGCTTTGGTGGGTTGAAGACGCTCCAACAGAAAAATATGGTGACAGGCCTCCCTCAAATCACAATTCTTCATTCCTTAGTATGTGAAGAATGTGTTGTTAGCAAACAACATCGTTCTGAATTTGCAAAAGGGAACTCATGGAGAGCAGAGGGAATTTTGCAATTGGTGCATTCAGACATTTGTGGTCCAATAAATCCAATTTCTAATGGAGGTAAAAAATATTTATTACCTTCATTGATGATTTTTCTAGAAAAACGTGGGTTTATTTTTTACAGGAAAAGTCAGAAGCTTTCTCTACATTTAAAAATTTCAAAGCTCGTGTGGAGAATGAGACATGAAGGATGATTCAGACACTTCGCACAGATCGTGGTGGTGAATATTGCTCAAAAGAATTTGAAGCTTTTTGTGAAGAACATGGCATCTGAAAAGAGCTTACAACTGCGTATACACCACAACAAAATGGTGTATCAGAGAGGAAGAATAGAACCATTCTCAACATGGTTAGAAGCTTGTTGGTAAGAGGAAGAGTTCCAAAGACGTTTTGGCCAGAAGCAGTAAACTGGTGCATTCATGTCTTAAACAGAAGTCCAACCTTTGCAGTTCGAAATATGACGCCAGAAGAGGCTTGGAGTGGGAGAAAACCAAATGTGGATCACTTTAGAATTTTTGGATGCATTGCATATGCTCATGTCCCGGAACAGAAAAGAAAAAAACTTGATGACAAGGCTGAAAAATGTGTCTTTCTAGGTGTAAGTGATACATCTAAAGCATATAAATTATTTAATCCACTGACGAAAAAAATTGTGGTTAGCAGGGATGTTGTTTTTGACGAAGAAAACACTTGGGATTGGAATATGCAGCAGCCTACCGAAGTTCTTTGTGATATTGATTCTGAACAAGAGCAAATTTCAGCATCTAGTATGCCTGAAAATTCGTCCATTGCAACTTCTTCAGCTAGTCAATCCTCACCAACAGTAGTTGGAGTTAACGAAGAAGAAACTCAATCTCTTCGTCGTGTTAGAAGAAGGCCTACTTGGATGGAAGATTATGAGGTAACTGGAATTGAAGATCCAATTACTCACTTTGCTTTGTTTTCAGAATGTGATCCCGTGACTTTTGAGAGTGCTGTCAAAGAAGAAAAATGGCGAAAAGCAATGGATGCTGAAATTGATGCAATTGAGAGGAATGATACTTGGGAGTTAACTGATCTTCCAAATGGACACAAAATCATTGGTGTGAAGTGGGTGTTTAAAACAAAGTTAAAGGAAAATGGTGAAATTGACAAGCACAAAGCACGCTTGGTTGTCAAGGGGTACAAGCAACAATATGGGATTGATTATACAGAAGTTTTTTCTCCTGTTGCGAGACATGATACAATCAGGTTGGTGGTTGCATTGGCTGCACAAAATTCTTGGCCTATTTACCAGCTAGATGTCAAATCAGCATTCTTGCATGGGTACTTAGAG